TATGCACTGGTACTTACAGTGTGCTTCCTACAGTCTGAGCCCCATGCTGCCTGATCCCTGTGCTCCTTTGTTTATTTCTCACAATCCCTCTACATAGTGGATGCAGCTGTTGCCTTCAGCAAACAAACAGGAAGAGCAGAGCTGGGAAACACCGTCACACACTGCTTGTGAATGGCAACGTGGGAGCTGAATGGAGCTTTTATCGGGAAGATCCAGAACTGTCCTGTTGGCTACACCCCACAGACGTCAGCGTGTGTCCGCATGGATGTGTCTGTTCTCTGAGGCAATGAGGAGGGGCTGAGATTACAATAAATTAAACATAGTCTCCAACTGATTCCAGGTATGTAGACCGGAAGCCACTGCCAGAAACTAACAACTGAAGACTTACTCAAGGCTCTAAGTCTGACAACTGCTCACCTGCATTTACTAAGGTGAAATATGACCTTCTTGGTCCCTCTGGAAAAAAATGCTTTTGCAGTTAACGCAAAACTCCCCTTCAGGGCAGAGTCAACCTCACTTCAGCACCATCTCTGCACCCGCCCATGTGTTCCCTGTGTGAGATGCCAGAAAAAGAAAGCACAGAAATTGGGATTCTCCTATGAAGTGAGAGGGTATCAATGTGAGGTCAGAACCCCGTATAACAAGATGCTGGGCTAAGGACAACCAATGATGCTTTCAGATCAAGCTGTGTGTCCTCCAACATCACAGTTAACCTCTCTGTGCTACTTTCTCATTTCTACAATGAAGAGACAATGCTGTATCTACCTCCCTCTAGCTTTTTTTTTAAAGACATATTTATTTTATGTGTATGTGTGAGTACCTGCATGTAGGTATGCACACTGCCCTGTTCCCACAGAGGCCAGAAGAAGGTGACAGATGCCAATTCTCACAGGGAGTTGTAAGCCACCATGTGGGTGCTGAACCCAGGGCCTCTGCAAGAGCACAAGTGCCCTTAGCCGGTAAACCATCTCCCCAGCCCCCCACCCCCATATCTTTTTAAGATTAAATGAATGCACACTGTTGTCATTGGCTATAGGCCATCTCCTTCACTGTTCACGTTTATAAAAATAAAGCCTTCCATGTTGGACTCCGACTTGAACGGGTAATAGACTTTGGAAATGACTGGTGTGCAAAAACCCTTCCATCCGATGGGAAGGAGTTGAGAAACCCCGTGCTTTAAATCTGAAGCGTTCTCACGTTTCTGGAGCCTTGGACAGAAATGTTTCCAGACACATGCCCATAGGAAGCGCTTCTCCACCTCCCTCCATCTCTTTCCACCCTGAGTTTAAAAGCGTCTCCACCTTCCCCACAAGCACCCCTTCTCCTCTGCTTGCCTCTACATCTCTGTCTACCCCAGCTCTCTATCACCTGGTCAGGGCTGAGGATCGGGGGACCAGTGTGCAGCCCTCCAAAGCTGTGAGCATAGATGGAAACCAAATCGTTGCACTGTTTCAAGGGCCAGAGCAAGGGATGGCCAGGAGGCCATGGAGGGAAGGGTCCAGGATTTACCCAAGAACCTGTTGACACCAGGGGCTACTTGACAGTGACAGGAACCAGTTTCTGACCCAGGAAGTGTCACTGCACCTGAATGACCCTCCAAGTTCATTCCAACTAATTACCTGATCCATCACTTACTAACTTCTGTGTGCTAAGGTCTACGAATGCAAGAATGAGTAAACTGTACCCCATGTCCTCAGCCTTCCAGGGCTCAAACGGAAGACAAAGTTGTACAGGCAATTACAGAACAATGCAGTAGGTAGGAAAGTGGAGAAGTCAGCCACAGGGGCTCATGCCTACAATCCCAGCACTAGCGAGGCTGAGGCAGGAGGTGTGTAGCTTGAGGACAGCCTGGGTTACACAGCAAACTCTAGACCAGCCTGGGCTATGTAACAAGACCCTGAGAAGGAGAAAGAGGAAGAGGACACAGAGATTATCACAGGAGCACCAAAGTGGTGGTCCTAACTCAGGGGGAGGATCTAACTCAGATCTCAGGAGTACTTTCAGGAGGAGATGATGCCCCAGCAGAGACAATAAAGAGTGGGAGAATGAGGTGGGTGAAGAGATGGATGGGAGCCCTGTAGGAGCCGTGTCCCTCCGTGTTCCACAGAGGGAGCCAGAGGATGAGGCAGACCTGGCAGGGTGGCTTACAGTGCTAAGACTTAACACACACGTGGGTGGGGCGTGCACAGACAGAGCCCTTGCCGGGAACTACAAACCAAGCCACAGAAGGCCTCATAGATGGCATTCCACTTTAATGGTTGGAGACACCAGTGATGAGCCTTCTGCATCTTCCACTCAGCTTTGTCCTGAGGACTGGCAGGCCATCAGAGGGCTGCTGACCTGGGTAGGGAGTGGCCCCGCCTGACTCACTGTCACAGCCAGGGCTGAGCTCTCTGCCTCCTGCCTGCTGGACTTCTGATCATGACACTGACCTCATAAGGTGATATGGGCACAAAGGGACTTGGCAATATAAACTGCTTGGAAACAGCCAGAAGTACAGGCAGAGTCTGAGCACAGCTCTGCAGTGGGCCTTGACTGAGGGAGACCCTGGAACAGGCACCTGCACTCCAGCCTCCTTCCTCCCTCTCTTCTTCCCTCCCCCCATTGCTCTTTGATCCCTGACTGACCAGAGCTGGGGCATTTGTGGAGCCCACCATCCTGCAGGGAAAAGCAGCCTCAGTTCTCAGCCCTGGGGGCCCTCTGACCTCCAGCAGGGTGGGACTCTGAACTCTTGTACTTTTGGGGTTTTTTGGACAGGCTGGCCTGGAACTCACTATGCAGCCTGAGGATGACCTGAACTTGTGATCTGAGTGTCAGAAGGACAGGCTCAGGAGCCACCAAGCTTCATTGTATATGGTGCTGGGGCTCCAACTCAGGGCTGCCTGCATGGCAGGCAAGCACTCTACCCCAGAGCCAAGCCCAACAGCCCTCCTGTGCTCTTCAAAAGTTAGGACATCTCACAGCTCCAGCTGCCATTTGGACCTGTTTCCCTTCACTTCCCATCTTCCCGACCTCCCTCTGCCCCACCCGCTGTCACTCCACCCAGGGTCACTACAGCCAAACCCTGTTCCTCTATGACTCCCTCAATAACCAGTAAGTGGCTCTGCCTAAGCCTTCCTGGATGACTTCCACCCCTCCCTCCCATGATTCCCTTTATTATGAGCTCTTGGATTCAGTGACCTATAATCCATTCACTTGTATCAGCTTACCTACCCTGATCGTTGTGTGCACTGGTCCAGGAATTTGCTACATCCATCTCACACTTGATTCCCCCACTTGAATCTCCCCCTCCTCCTCCTCCTCCTCCTGCTCCTCCCCCTGCTCCTCCTCCTGCTCCTCCTCCTCCCCTTCTTC